AGCAGGAATTAGAATACCTGTCGGCCATTTTCTTCCATTTCATTAGAAGATCACTTGGCTGGTCATCAATAGGTAAGTTTAACCTCTGCTTAAAATACTTAATGATACCTTGCTCCTCCAACAGGATTGGTACTCGGTAAGTAGAAGAAACATCATGGATAAATATCACCTAACACAAAAAAAAGTATAACATAAAGGACCTCCCTAAAATCTCTTTTCATATGAAAGATGCATTCTGTTTTTTGTATGTGACATGAGTTTTTTATTCTACATACATCCTAAATTTTAACTACTTTTTTTTTTTAACAAGCAGGGCAGCACAGTCAATAATTAAGGTTCCAGTAAATCTACAAAGGAAAAGCTATCCAAAAAGGCAAAAATGTGTTCCAGTTCTTCATCACAACACCATATAAAAATAGCTTGTCAAGCCTACCAATACATCAGTTTTCATACAAACATCTACAAGCAGTCATGATTGCTAACACTTTTTTCTACCTCTCTCATAAACCTGAAGAGCATTAACTGGGAAAGAAAGAACATAAATGGAACCTAACAAAACATACCCAGTTAGGTTACAATAAAGTCTCAGGAAGGCTTCTAACACTGTCTCCAGTAAGATACTCATGGACAACTTGTTCATGTATGGGTAGGATGAGCAGATAGGATGAGGGAAACTGGCAGAATGTATGGGCCCAGAGGGTGATGACCAGCAGCACAAAGTCTAGTTGAAAGCACCTAACTAGCAGAGTACCCCAGGAGTTAATACTGGGTCTGATCCTATCTAACATCTTCATTAATAACCTCGATGATGGGGCAGAGTGTACCTTCAGGAAGTCTTCAAAAAACGATGAAGTGGCAGGAGTGGCTGATACGCCAGAGGGACATGCTGCCATCCCAACAACAGGCAGGCGAAATGGGACAAGAACCTCATAAAGTTCAACAAGGAAGTCCTGCACCTGGAGAGGAACAAACCCAGGCACCCCCATGCTGGAGGCCACCCAGCTGGCAAGCAGCTTAGCAGAAAAGAACCCGGGTGTCCTGGCGGACACTAAGTTGAAAATAAGCCAACCAACAGTATCATCATCTGCATTATAGGAGAAGTGTTGCCAGCAGGTTGAGGGTGGTGATCTAAACAGCACTGGTGAGGCCATACCTGGAGTACTGGGTCCAGTTCTGGGCTCCCCAGTAGAAGACAGACAAAAATACTGAAAATAGTAAATGGTCCACAAAAGGCCACAAAGGAGATAAAGAGGCAGGAACATCTGTCCTATGAGGAAAGGCTGAGTGAGCTGAGACTGTTCAGCCTAGTGAAGAGAAGGCTTAGGGGTAGAGGTGGAAAATCTCACCAACACACAAAGACCTGAGAGAAGGGTGCAAAGAAGATGGAGTCAGGCTCTCTTCAGCGGTGCTCAGCAACAGGACAAGAGGCAGAGAGCACAAACTGAAAGAGAGCAGGTTCCCTCTGAACATCAGTAAACACTGTTGCATCATAAGGGTGACTGAGCCCTGGTACAGGTTGCCCAGGGAGGTTGTGGAGTCTCCATCCTTGGAGATACTCAAAAGCTGTCTGAATAACAGTCCTGGAAGGCTCTAGGTGGCTCTGCTTGAATAGCGTGGTTGGACCAGATGACCTCCTTTCTAACCTCAGTTATCCTGTGATTCTACAACAACAAATAAATGGGAGAAGTGTAATGGTCCAGTTAGAGTGGCGTAATAACTACAGTTGGAATCTGAGGATGTACATGCTTCCTCATGGCCTTATACTGCCAGAAAAACATCATTTCTGTTTGATTAAACTTCCTGTTGTCTGCCTTTAGCTGGAGAGGAATCACAAAGGGATTTCTGAAGGATTTTTTCAGAAGCTAGATCAAGGGTGCTGTCTTCCACAGATAGTAAGATGGAAGCAAGGGGGGGAAGTAATGGTCACACTGCCCTCTATGTGCCCACACATGGAACATTACTGTAAAAAACTTTTTACACTCCTGCAGAGAGAGGTTAAGACTGATACATATCTGAAGTACTGCATAACCATCGACATCTCTTATCCCTTTAATCCCATCCATTCCAGTGAAGAGTAAAATGCTTTCACTTGCAAAAATATTACAGCATTTATCAAAAATAATGCTCTAACAGCAACTAAACATGCAAACTATTAAGGCCAAAATCATACGTGAATTACAAAAGGATTTATAACTACTCAGTGGATTTTCTGAGCATGTTAAAGGGCATGAATAGCCTGCTACATATTATCACAGTAAGTGTTAATGTGGCTGTGATGATCTACAGACATAAGCAAAACTCCTGGCTTCAACCACATTTTGTTCATCTGTTACTATAAACAATAACCAACCACAGCTTGAATCTGCACAGGTTTCAAAACTATATATAGCCATGCATTCAAAATCCATTCCTTTCATTAACTTTTTACATAACATGCATCTAAATCTTTAATGACTGTTTGACATAAAATGGAACATATAAACTCCCAATACTTTTAGTGTTACAGTGTACATCAGCAAGATGAAAATTGTAAAAACAATTACATATTAATCAAACAGTCTGAAACTCAAAACAGAAATGCACGTAAGTATTTGTATGCTCTCCTATAAGTTTAAATAAAGACAAATAAAATATTAAGATACTGACCTGCTCAGGCTCCACGTGGCAAAACATGGAAATCTTTTCCTTTACTGCCATTTCTATAGGTTTTGCACTTCTGCAGACAATCTATCACAACAGAAGGAAAAATCTTAAATATTTGTAAGGGAAACCAACAGAAGAACCTCCATAGCTTTCATGGAGAAATTTTGGAAACACAACAAAAACATACATTTTTTTCCTCTTCTCCTCTGTTAGAGTTCTACAATATACCATAGGTCACAAATATCTCCTAGCAAGGCAGACGTAAATCAGTAACCTGCCCATACTGACCCACTGTTATTAATTTTTCTTTAGAATTCTCTGTTAATACTGCTTCCTCATCTTCTCCTTTCTTGTAGCTATTGTAACACTTCACCTAAAGTTTAGCAGCTCTGTAAGTATGAATAATATGATGAAACAAAAGAAGTATCGTGATTGTATCAGCTTAATTTAGAGCAATAATACTAAGTGTATCTGCATGTTTTCTACTATTTCAGCACTTCAGCACCTTTCCATAATTCTTAATTTGCACATCATGACAAAAAGAAGGAAGCTGAATATAAGAAAACAATTTCATAATTTTGTGAGTTTTTTCCTGGCGTAATTTTTCTGCTATTATTTTGCTGATGCATGTAAAACTCAGGAATTTTATTGACAATTTTTAACAATAAAGAAAATAAGCATGTGCTTTGGTATTTGCTGGAAGGAATTTTTGCATTATATAACTTTTAACAACTAAAACATAATGTAGAAGTGCTCTCTCCATGTGCCTACTCATTACTTAGTCTACTACGTTGTTATTTTGAGACTTGAAAGTACAACAGAAAGTAGGATGAACCTGTTAAAAGATTAGTTCATTATTTTCCTCACCTTTTTAGCAAATGCAACTACTTAAGGCATTAAGCCCTTTATTGCTCTGAAACTTGTAGATGATCTTTGATCACTTTGCTAGCATGCAGCTTACTTACAATAGCGATGAAGTCTAACTAACTTCCCCTACCCTTGCATGAAATTCCGTAAACAGAAAAATCAATGCCAGGTATAATGGAAAATTAGTGCATAGTCTAACAATCAAAAAAAGAATTATTAAACAATTTGTATGCTCTGTTCAACTAAGCACATCTTAAAAACTGGGTACTGTTTAACGGCATAATTCATAAACCTTGATGGTATTAGCACGATCAAATCCACTTTGAAATCCATCATTCATCTTGCTGAGACAAATTTAAAGTTAATCAAGCCACAGAAATCAAAGACATCAGAATCAGCATAAAAATACAAAACTACAATAACAGTGGCTGAGATACATCTCAAAGAAACATAAAACATGTAAGATGAGGAACAATTCAATCGAACAGGGCAGCACTAACAAGCATGTAATCAGTTTTCAAAATGCTGTAACTCAGTCCATTAAATCTGCAGATACAGTTTATCCATTAAGAGCTTAGAACACCCCACAGAGAACAGAAAGGCTCTTGTCTATACACAGCTGAGACTGGCCCAACACGCCACTCTGGGGAAGCCTGGGACCAGACAGTGAGGCAGAAGGTATTAAGAACATGTCTAGCCAAGTTTAGATCAGGCAGCCTGGCAGCATAGCTTATGAAGGAAGCCCTCCTGACTGCTATTCTAGGACCTTCCCCATATGCTGTCTTGGCCTGACGCCCCTACTCAAGAGAGCAACCATTTTAAGATTTTCTTGAAGCAGTGCCCAAGTAATTTTACAACAGCACCAAAAAGCTTTGCTCAGAGTGCAATCTCTCTCTAATTTAGTGGCAGTCAACAGCAGCTGTTTAGGAAAAAAAAAAAAAAAGCACTGTGCTTCTGGCATAACTAGAACTGCCCCAGGCAAGAATTCAAGACGTGTAAAAGTCTGTTTTCCTTTTATTACACACACACAGTTAACAGGCTTTTAAAAATTAATTTGGGGAACAAAAATAAAAATCAGGCACTGGCAATTATCTTAAAGGCCTTCAAAAAAATCACATGCAATATTCCATATGCAATTAGCACCTCAAGAGGGATTTTGAAATTTAAGGCCTGAAGCTTGGAATACAGAGAGCACTTTCTTTCCTGAAGATTACTGCAGTTACAAGGTCACAACAAGTCAAAGCTACCTAACACATCCTTCACATATACTATTTATAAAGCTATTGTTTTTGTAGTTATAAACATGCTTTCTGATAAATGTGAACAGTGAATTGAAAAAAAATCAGAAAGAAAAATAACACAAAATTTAGTTGTGGGACTACCCTTTTAAGAGTAATTTATTTATTTTTTTAGGATATAAATATTATACAGAAGCAGTGACTATTCTGAGTCTTTCATTTCTGAGAAGGACACTTTTTCTTCCAGTAGACTGCATGGAAATGCAAAGTGCTGAGTAACTTTCAGAATCAGGTGCGGAAAATATTCTTTGACTTAACAAGAAGCCTAACACAAAAAAGAAAAATCTTCCTTTTCTGTTCCTGAAGCAGTGTGTCTTCAGCTGTATCAGCTGCAGCTCAGGAAGATACATGTTTGAACTGGGGTTGCACTGGCATTTGAAGAGGTGCTGCCTGAGCTGTGCTGCGATCAGTGCTTACACAGATCACAACAGGGAGCTGCAATCTACTTATGTCTCCTCTCTGCTCCCAAGGAAAAGTGCCAGGGAGGCAAACACTGCATCCAGAGAATAAGCACATCAGAGTACTGGGGAGAAAGAACAGAAGAAGTTGAGCACTTATCATTTGCGAACAGGCATAAGGTGAAACTTGCTGGCTTCAGGTTCAGTATAGTCTGTGGGGGTAACAAGGGATTGAGAGCAGCCCTGTGGATAAGAATTTGGGGGTACTGGTGGGTTAAAAGCTATACATGAGCCAGCAATGTGTGCTTTCAGCTCAGACAGCCAACTGTATCCTGGGCTGCATCAACAGAAATGTGGCCAGCAGGTTGAGCAAGGTGATTCTGCCCTTCTACTCCACTCTCATGAGACCCCACCAAGAGTACTACTCTGGGGTTCTCAATACAGGGAAGACATAGACCTGTTACAGTGGATCCAGAGGAGGGCCACAAAGTTGGTCAGAGGGCAGGAGCACCTTTGTTGTTTAGCCTGGAGAAGAGAAGGCTCTGGGGAGACATTATTGAACCTTTTCAGTACTTAAAGACTTGTAAGAAAGATGGGGACAAACTTGTTAGTAGGGCCTCTTGCAACAGGACAAGGGCTAATGGTTTTAAACTAAAAGAGGGGAGATTCAGACTGCACATAAGGAGGACATTTTCTAGGGCTGAAACACTGGCATAGATTTATGGAATCATAGAATGGTTACGTTTGGAAAGGACCTTAAAGATCATCAGGTACCAAGCTCCCTGCCATAAGCAGGAACACCTCCCACTAGACCAGGCTGCTCAAAGCCTCATCCAACACCTCTGGGGAGAGGGCTTCCATAACCTCCCTGGGCAACCTATTCCAGTGCCTCACTACCCTCATGGTGAAGAATTTCTTCCTGATGTCTAACCTAAATCTCCCCTCTTCCAGTTCATAACCATTACCCCTTGTCCTATCACTACCTTCTCTGGTGAAAAGCCCCTCCCCAGCTTTCCTGTAGCCCCTTCAGGCACTGGAAGGTGCTATAAGGTCTCCCCGGAGCCTTCTCTTTTCCAGGCTGAACAGCCCCAACTCTCTCAGCCTGTCTTCACAGCAGAGGTGCTCCAGCCCTTTGATCATCTTGGTGGCCCTTCTCTGGACCTTCTGCAACAGCTTCATGTCTTTCCTGTGTTGAGAGCCTCAGAACTGTACACAGCACTCCAGGTGGGGTCTGACCAGAGCAGGGCAGAGGGGCAGAATCACCTCCCTGGCCCTGCTGGCCACACTTCTGATGCAGCCCAGGATGCAGTTGCTCTCTGGGCTCCAGCACACACTGGCAGCTCATGTTGAGCTTCTCACCTACTACAACCCCCAAGTCCTTCTTCTCAGGACTGCTCTCCAGCCGTTCTCCCCCAGCCTGTATTTGTGCCTGGGGTTGTGCCGACCCAGGTACAGGACTTTGCGCTTGGCCATGTTGAACTTCATGAGGTTGGCACTGGCCCACCTCTCATCATACTTCATCCCTGGAAACATTCACAGTGAGACTGGATGGGGCTCTAAACAACCTGATCTAGTTGAAGATGTTCCTGCTAGTTGCAGGGGAGTTTGACTAGATGATCTTTAAAGGTCCCTTCCAAGACAAACTTCTTTGAGGAACCTTACTTTGGAGATTAACCCATAGATTTTGTATTTCCAAACAGGAGTATTTTAAAGGTTGTATTTCAAAGGCAGGATTTTTTTTCTTAATCAGGCATAAAAATAAATTTGTGAGAGAATGTTAGGAGGCAGAAACATTCTAGGTCTTCCCACAAAGTGAACTGAGACTTCAGATTATTTTTAGCAGTGCAAAATGAATTTTCTGTGAAGATCCCTTTTAGAAGAGGAGCATAGCTAAGTTCCCGAGAGGTTGCAAGGAGTTAGTTGAATTAAATTAACTTGGAGTGAATTTGAGTAATTTGATTTCCTGTGGCTTTAGTGAAGCAATGCAGCGTATATTTGCATTTTTTTCTAATATTCTTGTCTCTCATGGGAGATTAAGACTTATTTTTTGAACACAAGTTATGCAAGGACACTTTTAGATGACCTGTAAATAAAAATCTGTATTTACTGACTCACCAAATCTGGAGACAAGCCTAGGCCTCTCAGTGCTCGAACACTGTTCTGTGTTGGTTTTGTCTTCTGTTCACCCGTAGCATTAGGCTGGAAAGACATATTTTGAAAACTCAAATTACAACTAACATGTTCTAACAGAGCAGATACAGGTTAAATGAGAAAATTAATTGCAATTAATAGTATTTGCAGGAAGCAAACATATCCAAACAGAACAACAGTATGCCAAAAACAGCAATGGCACTACTGTTATTACTTGCATAAGAAATTCTGTGAAGAAACCACATGGCCCTAATTCAGATCAGGTAGCTTCTTTGTTTGTTTGTTTCATTTCAGAGAAAAAGTTTCAATATAAACGACTTCAGGAAAAGATGAAGAATACTACAAAAGCTGGATTTGCTAACAAATGGAGAACATCCAAGAAAGGCCAAAGCCTGCAGCAACTGTCCTTGGAAATAATCAGATGTCGTAAATAATTCTGTCCTCAAATACATAGAATCAATCCTACCAATTGCTGATCAATGCTCTAATCCATAGCTGCAGTGGTTAATAATTCTCTTTTTATCTGTACAAGGTGCAATCATATCACCTTTACCAACCTTTGCTTACTAGAATCTCCCCAGTGCTCTTAAAATAATGAGAAAACTTTGGATGGAAAAATGCTTTTAGCCTTTTACAAAAAGTTGCAGTGGTCTTGACTGCAAGACCACTGTACGTCAAGGAGTTAGTGAGCCACATCAGAGTTCACCTGAAGAGGCTCAGGCCCAAGCAGCAGAAAATTCTTTGGAGCTCATTGTATCAAAGGAGCCTGCAGGCAGCTCCTACAGAGCACCTGTGATCACATCACCTGCATGGCCTTGCCTTTACGTGGGGATGCACCAACAAGTTCTCCGAAGAACATCCCTTCTGTTCGACAGTAAAAATTATACACAGTTTTTTCCTTGTAAGAAAGCCATCTATTAGCCCAAGTGACCAAAAGGGAAGAATCTCTTTGTGAAATGTGGTCTGCCCAAAATGCTGCACATCAGGACCATTCAACACTACACCACCTCCTTAAGGGATGTAAGGTCATTTTTACACTGTCCTCTTATTATAATGTTAGCTCTAACAAACAGAAGTTTAAACAATACCTTAGAGAGTCTGAGTGCATCTCTTACAGAGTTCAAAATGTACCAGCATCTTCCAGTGCAAAGCACAACTAGATTTAGCCTTCTAGATATATTAGTGTTGATAAGGGTTTTTTTTGGTAACTAAGAACATTAAAACAGATACTCATATCAACGAGGTAATTACTAAGGCTTTTATTTAACCCAATGTGACTGGTTTTCATATCTGGGTCTCTAAATCCCTCCCGTATGAAAGGGTAAATTAAGGAAGTAAACATGAAGCCAAATACAGAGTAAAATCTGTTTTATTAATTTTAATAACTTACCTGTGGTACTAGACTAACATGGATATTACAGAAGTTCTCCCTTTTTGCTTTGAACTGAAACTGTCTAAAGGCTTCAATAAATGGCATTCCTTCAATGTCTCCAATGGTTCCACCCAGCTGAAAGAGAAAGCTTGGAACTGTCAGTGTGAAAAAAAGCAAAAATAAAAGTAAAAAAAGTGTATCTCTTTCTATATTTAAAAAGTTTTCTGAAATTATCTTTTAAAAATTGACAATTGACATTTACAGGCATACTCTGCAAAGATTTCGTATCTGTTCTGTGTGTTTTCCTGTGGAAAACATAAAACAATTTTCCAGTTTTGCATACACTTTATATTATGCACATAAACTTCCCCTGCAAAGGTTTGGGGTTCTATTCAATAATACACACTTTCACATGACTTTCATTGCCTTCAAAGTGGCGAACAAGTTACCTATGGTTAAGCTAATGCGAAGGACTTCTACAGAACAAAACTTTATCTTTCTTCTGTCAGATTAATGAAAAGTTGCAACCAACAAGATACATGAAAATATGAAACATTAAATAGTATTTCACATTATAAAACTTTAAATATTTATTATGGAACCAAAACCCAAGACTAAATGTATAATAAAATTTCTGTATAAAGACAGAAATTTCTATCTTTAAAAGACAAAAAGATCTCTAGTCGAGCTGTAGTAGACTTCATTCAGCACTTAACAAAGTAGTGTTTAGGACACATCTTGTGAAGCAGTTGTATTTCAGAATGATCTTTCTGTGCCACCAAGTGGTTTTTGACAGAATTGCATATTTGTGTTCACCCAGTACCAGAAAAACTACTACATCTGTGTGGGACACACATATTCAGCCTAAGTCCTCCAGGACTTTGCCATGGGAAAACATTACAGTTACTCTTAAAGTCCTGAAGAAAAATTACTTCAATCAGGATCGAGCTATAACAAAAAAAACAAACAACCAAGCAAAAAAAGCCTTACATGAAAGAAACAAAACCAAAATGAAACGTTTGACTCTGACGATGCACATGATAAAAAAAAAAAAAATCTATAGCTACACCAATAAGTATATTTTAATCAAGGCAGATTCTTCTGCATGAGAAATATTGAGCCTGGGTCACAAAGCTTTTCACACTATTGATTACAGTGGTTGCTTCAGGCATTAAATCTATGACATATTCTTCTGTCAAATTCTCAGGTATAACCTTTATCTGTATTTTCCACTGCAGTAGTAATACAAGCAATTACTGACTGCCTTTCTGCCAGTTGTCTCAATGCCCTCCAAGGATGGGTAAAACCCAGTATTTCCACTGTACAGAACATCAGCAGGTTAAGTGTTTAACAAAGTTACCTCTAGAGATCTTAAAAGTAACATCAGAAACTAACTTTCCATGGTGTTTAAATACATTCCTGTAAACATTGCCATAAGCAACCAAAGATGGACATCTGAGGCCACACAAAAAGCTAGGATGTTACAGCCTCTTCTACCGACCATAGGAGATTTCAGGTATTATATGTTTTCCAACACAATATATAGCTTTGTATATACACAGTATATAGCTTCGGTCAAGATACTTCACATTACAATAACTGGCTGCTTTAATTTTATGAATCAATAAACTCTTAAGCAGCTCAGTTTAAGAAGCATTCTAAGAGGGATTTAGTCAAATAAACAGAAGCTGTAGTGATTAAGACAATGCCTATCATTCTATAAACCAAACAACATAAAACGTGCCTTCACCTTGCTGCTCTCCATAAAATTTCAGTCTGACCTTTTTACAGTAAGTAGCAAAGAGAAGGCAAGCTAGTTCTTTGTGTTCACTGCAGATTCACATCCTAAGAGGTTCCATACTTGCCTCAATTACACAAATTTGTGGCTCTTCTCTGTCATCATCCACTGGGACTTTTGCCTGATTCATTACCCATTCCTGAACCGCATCAGTGATGTGTGGAACAACTACAAGACAAAACCAAATGCAGCAATCTTACTTCAGGCCCACAGACCAGGTTTTTCATGCAGAAGGACGAAAATTAGCAGAAAGTTAAAAGGAAACTACTAGCATCTTTTTCTGTCCCTCATTTCCTTGAACCCAGAAGCCCAACATTACAGGAATATGCCCGTATCTCTAGGGATGGAGAAAGGGATAAGATGATGCAGCAAGGAGCAGCCTGTTCTAGCTAATCGATCTTCTGTAAAAACTGAATTTGAGTAGTACCCCACAGAATTAAAATTATCACCTTGAACAGTTTTTCCCAGGTAATCACCATGTCTTTCTTTATTAATGACATGCTGATAAATCTTTCCAGTGGTGATGTTGTTATCTTTATACAGATTGATGTCCAAAAACCTCTCATAATTTCCCAAATCTAAGTCAACTTCTCCACCATCATTCAATACAAAAACTTCACCTGAAAAAAATAGACAACAGACAGAAAAGCAATAAAATTATCAGAAATTATTAAACACACAGCAGAAATACACAATTGAAGAAATGTGGGGTTTTTTAAATGACATATCACAACAACATATCAGTAATGCACCTGCTGCAACTCAATCTGTGTTGCCATTCTGTGTGACTTAATATCCAAGTCATTACTTTAAGATCCAATGCCTATCCTCACTCACACATAGCTTTGCAAATAAATTTAAGGTATATTGCTAAAATATTTAAATGACTTAAAAATACTTAACGAGCATTTCAACAGCATGCTACAATCCTTGATCAAAAGAAAACAATCTGCAGCAACCATAAACCAGAAACAAATAAAACATTAATTTAAATGTGAGAGCCAAAAGCTATGTTTTTATAAGTATGAATAATCACACATATTCGAAGCATTTCACTGTAAATTCTTGTTGTTTGGATCTATTTTAATGACTAAGGTGTGGATGAGAAGTAAAGTTATGATGAATGTAAATGCTTCTTCAGACACGATCACTGCTTCTTATTTAGTTGTTTCATCTTGTATATATGGTTCACTATGTCCACAGTGAGGGTTATTTCTAATCCTGAAAAATGTAATTAAAATATCCTTCAGCAGAATTTTATTAGACTCCTGAAGAGTCTCTAAATTCTTAACCTCATGAACTTCTGAGGGAACCAAAGTCTCCAGATCTTGAGGTAAAGATAGAAAGCACTTCAGAAGAAAACATAAAATTCTATGATTCAAAGGCTAAACAAGTTACAGTGTGGACTACGGTAATGTATCTCCCACCAAGATACAACACTATACTTCAATAAACAGTTTGACAAAAACACCACAATGTGTAAAACAGAGTGGAAGATTTATGCCTGCTCCTGTAAGGCACTGAACAGAGGAAGTACTCCTCCTCTGTACTTGGTATAATTTAAACCAAGATATACAGAGTGAAACCAACATTTTTCATAACCAGGCCTTGGAAGATTAAAAAAGTATATTATTTTAAAAAAACACTTCAGTTCACTGGAAATCACCAAATAAAAATCCTTCAACAAATAGACTTCTCTCCTTACTTAGAGCAGACAATGCCCTTGAGAACAAATAGTATGGGACAAGCTTGCACTGCCAAATAGATGATAAAATTACTAATGACTACCACACTGGGGATTTTTTTGGGGGGAAAACAGAGAAAAAAAAACCAAACCACCACGACATTACTGCAAATTCAAATATTTATGCAAAAGGCAAGAGCACTGCCCTTCATACCATGTTCATATGGTGAAAAGGTTCCAGCATCTATGTTTATGTATGGATCAATTTTGATTGCAGTGACACGTAGACCACATGATTTTAGTATGGTGCCTATGCTGCTTGCAATGATCCCTTTCCCAATGCCCGAGATGACACCACCAGTTACTAGGATGTACTTCATCAGAAAATCAGCACAAGCACACTGATCCTGAGCTGGAAATCTAGAATGACAAAGACATATATCAAATGAATGCAAATTCACATCAGGGAAGAACACAGCATCAGTACACAGAGTTGAAATGATCTTCAGAAACAAACAACAAAAAAAAAGCATTTAGGGATCTGGGAGTAGGATTCATCTCTCTCAGCTCATACACTGATATGTAAGCAAAGTGCCTAAGTCCATTCCACAGTCAGTGACCAAACAGGCAGCATTTAAATACACTCTTCCATGGAGATGCCAAAAAGGCACAGTTCATCTGATGTATTCCTCCCCTGCGACAACAAAAGCCATCTAAGTTTTACAACCACAAGTAAGGCAAGATGAAACTCACTCTGGATTCTTCCTAAATTAGTTAATAATTTCATGTGTTTCAGAGAAGTTAACTCAAAGATTGTTCATTGCTCCATTAGCCAAAAGACTCACATTCTCTACCCAGCAGCTTTACCTTCAAAAATAGTGATTGTAGCTTCTAATATGTATTCAAACCAGAATGTTATACCATCCATGCCATTTTTTAGCAGCTTTTGTTTCTCTGACTCACATCATACCAAGTACTTCACCAAAAGTCTTACAATATCCTACAGATCATTAGGACATGAGAACATGTAAAGAAAAATGAACAAAAATGTCCATATTTATACTAGAGTACATTACTGCTCGAGAGCCTAGCGTCCTTTCTTCACACAACTACCCATTCTCCCTCCCCAAGTAAATACTGTGAGTGAAAAATCAGAAAAATAATAATTTGACATCTCTGGACTATGACGCAGAGTAAGATTTGATGCTGTTCTAGGAAACAACACTGTATCAGTTTGAAGTTTCAGATTCAGAAAAACACCTGATGTCCTGACACTCCTCAGCATTATGCACTGAAAACATCACCCCTGGCTAGAGCAGCTCTGAGAGCTATGACACGGCCAACTCAGACTCTGCTTCCGGGCTGAGATTACAAATTATTTGATTCTTCACAAGAGGGAAGCAAAACTGAGTACTCACGAACGCTACACCCTAAAGATAGAAACATGACAGTCAATGCATATTACGGGGCTTAAAGCTTGATCAGTTAAAACTTCATAATTTCACAGTGCTCTACAATACCACTACAATACTACCAGGATATGCAACAATGGCTATTCAGATACAGAAACCCTCTCTAAAATTTCTTTCATTCTAAGAAGCCTGAGTAATTACAACTGAAATAAAAGGACCTTCTATGAGCTAAGAGATTCAAATATCATACCAGGCAAATCATATAATGGGGAAGAGGGTAATAATCTAAGAGATGCAAATATGTTTATGCCACCTTGCACTGTATGAGTATGAAAGCTAAGGGGTCCAGAACTATTAAAAAAAAATAATTCTGAAAATTACTGTCCTATCACACCAAGTGCTGTTGGTGCAGTCCCTGCCATTCTCCCACTTCACCTGGCTTTCACACAAGCACAGATTTCTCCACCCCATCTGAAACAGGATGATGTTGCATGTACCTCATCCATAATTGTATCCACATCACATTCAGGCAGCTGTGAAGGCCTAATCACCAGAGCAATTTCTGAACAATGACAGCATGGCTCACCACAGAGCAAAAATCCAGGCTCAAGAAAATCTTTCCTTACTTAAGTACCTAGCTCGTTCAAAACCACATGCAACAGCACACAATCTAACAGCACTCAGGATAAATCAAAGCAGTGTGGTTCTCCCAGTACTGGCAGCAAGGGGTGGCAAATCGAAGAACACTGGAGCTCTTCCTCTTACTATACTGAAGTGACACAAATAAGGCCTGAATTTTCAGGAGGCAGAGTTCCAGAATATAAAAATTATTGCTATCAATGGTCTTTTGACTGATAATAGGAGTTAATAAACTTTTATTTTCTTGCCAATACACACAAAAAAGACCACAACCATGAGAAGTACTTAAATCAGGAGAAAAGCATCATCAAGAATGGACTTCTCCCTGCTATTTAATTTTAACAAGCAGCTTTTTAAATAGCATTGATTTTAAGATTTGAAGCCTACTTCTTCTGTTGCAGACTCATAAATCAGCTAATGTAGTTGTTCACATTAACATTTCCTAATAATCTAAGCCATTTTCAAAGCTCCTTACAGAAAAAGAAGGGAGAGGAATTAACTCAGCAGGTATAGATCTTGAATATGAGCCACTTCAAAACTTGTTAACCCAGTCATCTTGCTTACAGGAATCAAAACTGAAAGCTCCCTGTGATTTTAGCAAGAACAGTGATTGGCTAGTACTTTAAGGAAGCAAAAGGTTCAGTCGTAACAGAAACAAAGAACTCCAGGTGGTTTTGTAAGTCTCCCGTAAGAGGCAAATGACTTGAGGGAGGGAAAGCAAAAAGGGAATATTAGAAGGAAACATTTTGCTGGGAACTAGAAAACAACACAAGCAGAGAGGAAAACCAATTGCTCCACTCGGTCTTATCACCAGGAGCCCGCTGTCTTCAGCAGGGAGGTCACGGAATGGTTTTGGTTGCAGAAGACCTTTAAGTCCATCAAGTCCTACCATCAACCTAGAACTGCCAAGCTCGCCACTAAACCACCTGAGCCACCTGAGCACCGCGTCTTCCGAGCCACTGAGGG